GTGGAAACGTGTGTATATTATGGAGAACACAACTTTTTCAACATTTTAAATCGCTATATTTCAGAAATGGTGATTCTTAGGGAAAAAAGTGTAAAAACAATTTTTATACATAATTTCATGATCTACAAGTTTTGTGTCACCTATTTTTATGATAAAAAAAATGCAAAAAACCCATATTTGCGAACTTTGACCTTGAATAAATTTTTTTGCAGATGTGCGATCGATGGGGACTTTTCACATTTCATTTGTAATGGTGTTCCCAACATTCGTCCCAATTTTCAGCTTTATGCGAATTATTGTAACCTTGAATGTCTATTTTCACCGGGCTATAATTCAAATAGTTCCGTTATTTTTTGAACAGACCTCGTATGTCGTTACAAAACATCTTCGAGGATTTTTGTAAAAAACCTTTCCATTTATATTTAAATTAGTTTATTCCATACTTTTGACACGCACGCTATAGATATTAGGCAATACGAATTCTATTTCTTGGATTTTATTTTCGTAAAATCAACCTAAAACAATTTACATATAAAAATAAAAACAAAAAATTATAAAATTTTGTTTAGTACTTCTTACATGAAAGATGCAAGATATTAAGAACAAAAGGTTTGTTCGTTAGTGTTGCATGAATTAAAACAATGGATTCTATAAATTAGACGATTTTGACAGATGATACAATTAAGCAGTAATAAGAACAGTTTAAAGTACAAACGAACAGACGCTAACTAAATAGTGATATTATTTATTATACCTTAACCTCCGTACCTCTACCAAGAAATTTTTATCACCTTTAAATGCAAATTAATGAATAAACCTAAAGTACAGAAGATCCTAACTACACAGAAGCGACATGTGCTAAAATCGCCATGGAAATATGTTGTTTTTCCGCCAAGTAACCAAGCTTATTTAGGAAATCGATAATTCAATCCAACCTCACTTTTGTGCATTTACTACTATTTACTATTTATTATTAGTGTTTATTTATTCTAGACTTAGTGTGAGTGATTAATGTTAGTAACTATTTAAACAGACATAATATTTGTGATGTATCGTCGAGGGGATTATTATTGTATTTGTCGAGGGTGCCCATCCAAAACAGGTAGAGGACTAAGCTTCTTTCTATTCCCGAAGACTCGAGCAGGTAGTGTAGTAATTAGCTATGTATTACAAAATTTGAAATATATTGAATGTATACTAGAATTATTAAGTATATGTTTTGATAATTAATAAAAATCTAAATTTATGTACATTATGTACCTACCTAAATAATATCGAATGAAATAAACTAAACGATTTTCTTTTAGAGCTTCAGCATGGTTGAGAGCGTGCAACAGAGAGGATCTTCTCGAGAAAAATCCAGAGACACAAAATTATCAACTTTGCGAGCTACATTTTGAACAAAAATATTTGTTCAAAGGTGGAAATGGTCCGCAAGTAAGGGCCCATAGAGAAATACTGGATTCTTTACTTTTAAGATTTTTTAATAATAAAAGCTCGTTACTTAAAAGCTTTACATTACTCGTAAAAAAGTTACGCTCACATTTACGTCAGACACATGACTTTGGTGACCTCTAGAAAATACATCGAAATAAATAACAGATGATCTCTCGTACCAAAAACATTTACCCTAAAATTTTTACATTCTTATCAATAACATAATTATTACCAAAATTAAATTTTTAACTTCGACACCCTGTATCTTTTTTATTATCAACATTTTATAAAGAAATGTTGGCTCCAATCGTAATATTTTGAAGTAAAGAATTTAGTATTTCTCTATGGGCCATTACTTATGAATAGTAAATAATATTGTGTATTTAAATATTAAAAATAAATATTTTTTTGTGGTATTTGGATTTATTTATAACTATATTCCATCTACACGAAATTTTTAATTATACTAGTAACAGACGTGTATCATGTGTAAATCAAATTGCTTTTTTTTTTAATTAAGCATAAAATCATGCCTTACATCGACAACCAATGTATTTTAATTTATGTCCAACTGATTGTTTTATGCCACAAGCTATTGAAAATTGTACTGGAATTATGGATTATATTATTCATTCATATAAAAATTTAAAGGCTTAATATCTCAAAGTATATTTTATAGACTGTTTTTTCAGTATATCTCTGATAACCTTTCTCTCAGTGTAACATGTTGTTCACCACCGTTCAAGGTCGAATATTTTCACCACGCTTCTGTGTAGTTAGGATATTCTGTGCCTAAAGCATGAGACTATTACTAGTAATAGTGTCATCATTGTATAAGTAAATATATTTACTTATACAATGGTATCATGAACCTAAAGTATCACCCAATACCCACCAGATAACGCCTCGACTTTCAAGGCGAAACCAACAGATGGCGGTTTATATTTTATCGAAATACAGGGTACAAAAATTAATTAAAACAAAAAAGAGGTCCCAACTTTTGAATTATATTCTTTCCTTGTTATTGAAAAACATTTTCCATTAAGCAACTTATTTTTTACACTTTTTGCAGTGTTGAAAAATTTGAAGCGCCAGATGCAGACACCACGTCAAGAGCGCCGCCTTCAGTAGCGTGAAGAAATTACAATTCATATCAAAATCATTTAACATGTATTCAAATTCACTAGACGCCTGGTAAGAGTTTAGCCTCTTTATATTTTATTATTACTACTATAATGTACAATAAAATAAAAAGTAATATTTACTTGCTTCTATATTGCACTGTCTTCTTGAAACGAATTATAACTGCGACTCGACGAATAACTAAAAAACGACCCACAACAAATTAAAGGCAAAAACAGTCGTCCACGCCTATTTAATTCAAAGGTAGGTAGTTAAGAATTAATCCAACCGAGACTAATAAAATAGATATGATGCAATTCATCGCATCATAACTACCAGCCAACTTGTTCTGTACTGAGTAATTCCTATATTTATTTCCATTTATCGCCCAGTCAACCTTCACAAATATATCGAAAATCATTATATCGAAAGGTGTAGCTGGTACGAAATGTATACATTAATGTTTTATCAATTAATGGATTGTATACGGCTTTTTCTAGTGCCTTGTAATGCATAAATATAGATTAACGCAGAGGCGGCACGTTGGGTGCTTAATATTAAAAATAGATTTAAAAAAAACACCATTGCTACATTTTATTATGGCTCTTGCAGAAAATATACATAGTTTTACATAAGTTTACTCATGTTAAGTGTATAAGAGTAATGCATTACAATTAACTCTATAGAATGCTATTTCATTTCAGCCGCAGAATTATAATACAATACTCTCCTTTGTACATTATAAAAGTTGTAATAGTAAGTAGATAATTGTTAAATATTATTGGTTCATGTATAAAAATAAAATAAATGTTTGGGCAAGATGTTCGGAATAAACTTGTATAACGTAACACCAGATTTCGTGACTCAAAATAAGTCAATTTAGACTGACTTACCTATATAGAAAAGGGTTTTGTGAACACGCCTTTTGTGATGTACATAAAATCCTCTCAACATAACACTAAACAATTTTTTTTTCAAATTGCTTTAAAACGATGTGAGCTAGATACTTCTTAATTTACATATTTATATTTTTTATTTTATGAGTAGTAGTATATTACTAGAATACAGGGTGTCCCAGAATATGTGGGCAATCTCTCGGATTTATACAGGGAACGTTAAAATAACATGACAAGTTCCTATAAAAAATTTTCCTAGAGGGCCCCCCCCTACGAAGATCCATGCCCCTAAAAGACACCCCTGGAAATTTATTTTTTTATAACTTTTAAAATACTTTGTATAATTTAATTATTTTTAAGAAAAAACAAAGGAAATTAAAGTGGCACTTTTTAGACTGGAACAGAAAGAATGCAAATTTCATCGGTTTCATCTTTACGGATGTAATAAAAATCCCAAAAATAGTTTTTCGAAATAATTCATTTTATCAATATCAGTGCCTTTTCTTTAGTTTAAGGTTCAAGCTATCTAAAAATATTATTTTTGTGCCTTTATCGTAAAGGGTGTTAAAAAAAATGTGCATTACTGTGCTGTAGCTAGTCCGTCCCTGGCAAACCAAATAAGCCTTATTGTTTTCATGGGTCAATTTTTAAGGAGTCTTATCTGTTGTCCATCGTATTAAAAAATAATTAAAATCCACAAAGTATTTTAAAAGATTTAAAAAAAATCGATTTTCACGGGCGTCCTTTAGAGGTCTGTATCTCTAGGGAAATTTTTTATAGGGACTTGTCATGTTACTTAAACCTTTTTAAAGTTGTATGAAAAATTATTGTTTTTGGAGTGCCACACCGATTGAGCTAGGGCTTTTTCAATGGTCGTTGACTTTTGTTTATAGATTTCGTCTAAATTAATTTATATTGTACCAAGGAATCTCTGGTTTTACATAATTTTTAAATTATAAGAACATAGTTTACTTAAATATATCTGGTAAGAATATCAAAATGAATTCTAAATATATTTTAAATCTGCAAGATGCAGCACATCTGTTGTATTCTATCATCTTGACACAAAATAGAAATTATTTTTTTGTTTCAGAAATTATTTTCTCTTAAAAAGTTGATTTGAAGCCAAAAAGCCCTAGAAAATTTATTAACTTAAATGCTGCTTGAGATACATAAAAATTCAAAAAATGTTGTTTGTCTTTTTTACTAGTTTCGTCTTCAATAGTATTGCTTCTGGAAATTTTCTAGGATCATTTAAAAAAAAAATTTTTCATAATAAATTATAAAACAATGTGCCCCTTTGAAAAATGGACGACTATGTGTTCTAAAAATTAGGTCAACATTTATTTCGTTACTGTTTATTTTAATTATTAGACAATGTAATGTCGTCATATTAAATAAATTTAGTTTTGGGTTATTAAAAAAATATAATGTATATTTTCTTAAAAAAAAATACAAGGGGTATGTTCTATAACCATCGTGCTGGTGTACATTTTTATGGTGCTATAATAAATAGTTTTAAGTGCATTATAAGTGACACCCTACCTGGTATTTTCGGAGACTCCTCCGTCCTCTTCCCCGTCGACCTCATTAGGGTGGCAGGATGACTGTGGAACCGCTCTGGCTGATCGGGCCTACCGCAAGTCGAACAGGGTTCTGGGAGTTTGGTCGATTTGATGAGCTCACTTTTAAGGTTCATCACTTTCCCGTTCGCCACACCACATTTGCGCGGCACTTTAAGCGTTTTATTGTTGTTCGCGTCACTAATCGTAGCCGGCCTTAAGAGCCCACCTTTCTTAGAGGCTGTCTTGATCTTATTGTTGATCTTGTCGTTCTTTATCTTCCTCGCGCTCTGCACGCTGGTGCTCTCCTCATCCTCAAAACTGTCCTCCGCATCCGAGATCTTCTTTTTTTTGTTCTTGTGTTTCTCTGGAGGCGGTAAACTCAGAGGTCTGTTCACTTTGAGCACGTTCTTGTTTTTGATTATCAAAGGCACTCTGCATAAGTTTGAAATGTTAAGAAACTCTTTTCGTATCTTGCTCATGTCTATTTTGCCTACGAGGCTGATGTCCAGGATCATAGGCTTTTCCAAGGTGGCCGTCAGAGGTCTGGGTTGTTCCTCTGTCTTTTTGTTCTTTTTTTCTCGTTTTGGGGTCCAGGTTTTGGTAAACAGTTTCAGTCCCGTGTTCTTGTTTGTCATGGTGAAGAGGTCTTCCTGGCTCTTGTCTATCGAGTCTTTCTCTATCGTGGGTAGCACCAAAAATGGCTTACACCTCCTCCTAAAAATCTTCTTGTCCACCTTCAACTTCATAAATTCTACATTCTTCTTGCGAATATATATTTATTTGTTTCGTTTTCACTCCTTAAAGGTCAATGGGTGTGCTGCAAAAGAAGTCAAATATTTAATTCCTCTATTAGTCATTGCATATGTAGTTTTCTTTCATCTACAGTAAATTGCACACATGGGAGAAAAGTGTAATTAATGCACCTGCGGACAAAACTTGGTGGACGTAAAAAGTGTAAATATAAGCAATTAAAGAAACTAAAATATAACGTAAGCATATACAGGGTGTTTCAGGATTAAACTTTGAGGACGTATTCCTCATCTGAAAATAAGTCGCTGGAAATGCTTTGCTTTCGAAGTACATGATGTTAAGAATTCCAAAAAAATAATGATATTTTTCATTATCTTGAAAGAGAATAGAGATATTTAAGTAAAACTAGTTGTGACTTTGTCTCAGTAATAAGTATTACTAGCTATCAGTGGAGGAGATAGAAATAGGCGCTTCAATTAATTCGGCAAATAAAGTAGTAAATATAATAGTAGCAAATAAGCAAAAAATGAGAACTGGTACCATTTTTTATGTAATATTTTATCTTGGACAAAAAATCGACATATCAAAGCTTGTCGACATAATCCTGAAACACCCTGTATAGCTGCTCTTTTTCTTCCATTGTTTACATTTTCTACATCAACTAATGTCTTTGCAAATAAATGTGTACAATTTTATACGTAGAGTCTAATGCGAGTGAAAAAAAAATACGTTCCCTGAACATTTTCCATATCATTTTTATTTTCCAAAAATTAAAAATGAAATAACGTCAAAAAATTTAATAAAGACAAAAACAGTTTTTACCCCTTACATTCAACAAAATTATTTTTAATCATAAAATTAGTAAATTGAGAAGAAATTAGTCCTTTTTTCAACTTCTCAAACTTGAGATGGCATATACAGGTGGCCGAAAATTAAAAAATAATTTTAGACAAGGGAAAAGTACAATTCATTTTTATTTTCAAGAAAAATGTAATGGGAAAATGTTACTTGGAATTGAACATTAAGTCTAAGTTTAGATTCGCAACGTTCTTATTTTTTTTTGTCCATTTAGATTCTCTACAAATAGGTAACTTTTTTATTATCAATTTGACAAAAAAGGGATATCTATATATTATTTATAAAAAGTTCTGCTTTTTGAAAAATTGGTATTAAATTTTTCACATTTGATATAGCATATAGAGGGTGGCCAAAATTGAAAAATCAAGCTTATTGTTAGAACGAGACTGTTTTCCGGCAATATTGAAACAAGATATTTTTCAAGCTTCGCCATCTGGTCACTGATTAGTTACAGCAAGAAGACCTTTGGATGAATAGATTCCCTTCGCAATTAAATTACATTCAATAATAATAATTATTCAAGAATGTTTCTTTTTCAAAAATACAAAACAATTTCAATAGTAAACATTACATGAAAATAATTTAGATGCACTTTTTCGTCACTGCATATTACCCTCCATATATCCACCTTCCCTTTCCATACAAGTGGCCGTTCTTGTGGAAAATTCTTCTAAAACATTTCTAATAATGACAGGAGTTACTGTATCTTCTATTGTCTCCCTGATTACACTCTCCAAATGGTCAATATTTTGAAAAGCCCCTTGCAGGTATACCTTTTAAATAGCCTCATAAAAACTAATGAAGAGGGGTCAGATCCGGATGACTTAGCGGGCCAGAAAATGTGAGAATATCAATTATTTTTCCATTAAAAAGATTACGTAGATATTGCCTTACATCTCTTGTACTGTGGCATGGCGCACCATCTTATTACTACCGCGATTGTCGTCTGTGATGTATGGGAAATTCATGAATAAAATCATATAAAAAAGTATTTAAAAAATTTAGATAACGATCACTATTTAATGTTTCACGAAAAAAGAATGGTCCAATTATTCTATCTTTATAAATCCCACACCACACGTTTGTTTTAAATGAGTACTGATCACGAGTCGGAACAGTAAAATTAGGATTAACATCAATGACAATATTGAGAACTCACTGTCCCCTTGGAACTGAACTTCGTCGAAAAAATAATATTTCTGGCCAAAAAAGGATCATTTTCTAACTCTCCTTGTACCAAAGAACTAAAATCGAATCATCGATCAGAATCGCCTGGCCTCAAGGTGTATACCTACATATAAATTTAGGTTTGTAAGGCCGAAATGTGTTCAATTTTAATATTTTTGAAATAGGGTTGTTGACAAAATTTCAAAAAGTAGATAATATAATTCTACACGTACTAATTAGTGTGTATGCACAATTAGAGATTGAGAAATGCGTTGGAACAGTTTTAAAATAATTATTTAAAACTGATTTTTTTATATTTCAAAACAGCTGTGACGTCATAAGGGGTACTTTGTAGTGAAATTATGTGTAGATGATTGCGTAAAGGAAAAAAATTGGAGGAAGAAGATTCTCTGTCAACACTGTCAGTAGTGTTAATCTGTCAGTGACATTGTCTCATAAAATATTTTCAAGTCTACGAGTTATTTTCCTTAATCTTCGAATTCCTTTATTAAGTAAAATTATTATTTAGTAATAATCATTTAATATATTCCTTCCCTTAGAATTAAAGCAGAATTTGTGAAACGGGATTTGTGAAAGTTACTTCGCAAATTTTACCGAAAATTGATATTTTTATGATCATGAATCGAATTTTTAAAAAGAGACAACCTTTTTAGTATTGGCGAAATCAGAGGTATAAAAGCAGTCAGGTAAGGATTAACATATTTTATTAATTATTTTATTGTGTTTTTTAATAATATAGACTGCTGTGCTGTCACTAGTGTCACTACTGTCACTTTTGTTCAATGAACAGAAAACAGGGCAACAGGGTTTGATGGACAATTTTGATATATTTTCTTCTTCTTCAAAATTATGCAATAGGATCGCTACTAGCTTCTTGTTCAATTGCCTCTTATGACGTCAGACTAGTTTTTAAGTAACACAAACATTCATAAATGATTTCTACCACTAATTTGTCATATATTTAAAATTTTACTATACAGGCAGGTTCTTTTATATAAAATCTTTGTATCAACAACAATTTGTATATGGTTTGTTTTTATAGTCAACAACCCTATTCTCTTACTCACATAATTTGGTAATGTTGTTGAGATGCGGAGGTCCTAAAAATTCTCTCCGCAAAAGATCAGATTTTGTTTCAATATTGCCCGAAAATAAAATCTCATATTCACGTTCTATAAACTTGATTATGCATGTTCAGCCACCCTGTATATACTATCAAATGTGAAAATTTTAATACTATGTTTTCAAAAAACAGAACTTTTTTAAATAATATATTTTTTTCGTTAAATTGATAATAAAAAAGTTACCTATTTATAGAGAACTTAAATGGACAAAAAAACAGAAGGACGTTAGGAATCTAAACTTAGACTTAATTTTTAATTCCAAGTAACATTTTCCCATAACATTTTTCTATAAAATAAAAATTAATTGTACTTCTCCCTAGTCAAATTTCATTTTTTTTTAATTTTCGGCCACGCTGTACATGCTATCTCAAGTTTGAGAAGTTTAATACCATTTTTTCAAAAAGCAGAAGTTTTTATAAAGAATACCAATTTTTTTGTAAAATTGATAATAAAAAAGTTACCCATTTGTAGAGAACTTAAAGGGACACACTGTATACAGGGTGTTCACTAAACAATGGGTTATACTTTAAAGCTAGCTTCCTTAGATGAAGATAAGGTGGTCTAGTAAACACCCTGTATAATATTCATATTAAGTAAAGAGTATTTAGGTAGTTGTTAAAAAAAACGAATGAACTAAATAGGCCGAATGATCCATAAATTAAGATAATGCATAACAGTGCTCAAATTTTTGCTAAGCTGAAGGTTGTGTCATAATAACAGAGGCAGTGATAATTACATTTTGCAACATTTCATTTTTCACACGTTTGAATAATAATGTATTGTATAAAAACAGAGTTGTGGAAAATTTGATATATGAATTATAAGTGTACGTTCGAACTTTCATTTCAGTTTGTTAATGGCTTCAATAATATGTTCTAGAAGTCATTTAATTCGGTGAATATTAATATGAGGTTTGATCAAAGAGTAACGGGACCTTTCAAATTGCACGTGTTGACAGGAAGAAAACTTCAAGGTCACGAGAGACAACTCGTGGATTTTGCACCACGACAACGCACTGGCGCATACCGATTCGCTTTTCCAACAGTTCTTGGCCAAACACAACACGGTTGTGATGCCGTAACTACCTTATTCTTCGGACATGACTCTGTGACTTTTTCTACGTCTCAAACTGAAAAGGCTAGTCAAAAGCCAACGTATTTCGACAATAGAAGAGATAAAGGCAAAATCACAAACTGTGTTCAAGACGATACCTAAACAAGCGTTCCATCAGAGTTTCTCAAACTGGAAAATACGTTGACATAAGTGTATACCACATGGGATTTTGAAGGGGATGGAATAAAAAGATTAAATATTTATTTACTTTTTGAGAAAATTTACAATTCCCGTTACTTTTTGATCAAACCTCTTCCTTTTGTTAACGTATTTGCAATAATCAGTTAAGTAACCCTAGAAGGCTTAGAGTCAATTAAGGGCTAAACTAAAATGTTTCCATAGCGAATTATAGATGGCGTTGAAGTCAAACGAACTGTTTCCTTCACGGGAACTTTGGAAAGTAGTTTATTTGCATTACCATTAAATTTTAAACAAATTACTTTATGAATATGTTTTTCAAATTCAATACTTTAAATGCTCACAAATGTATTGGATTACCTACTACAATATACAGGGTGGGCCATTAGTCTAAGAAAGTAAAATAACTCCCTTGTTACTCATAATACAGAAAAAAAGTTTATATATAAGTTATACAGAATCAAGAAACGTAAACTACAAAATTAATTTGATACATACAGGATAATGAATAAAAACGGGACACGCCAAATATTACATTTTTTAAATGGATCACAATGTATATTTTTACAGATATGGATTTCCGAGACAATTTTATGTATGGCAATATAAACAGTTTATCATTTTAGTGCGGGGTTGCCAAGTTATG